CTTTCCCGGGACACTGCCTCTTCCAGCCATCCTGGCGTGTCCATGTCATCCCCCTTAGAGAGAAGCAACCCTGGCCAAAATCACCTCTGATGAATTCTTGCATTATTTCTAACTGGAAAGCTGGCTGGCTACATTTTATAAAGAAAAGCTTATTTTTAGCATTCTAACTGCACAACCAGATGGACAGACAATGCAGAGCTGACATTTGTTATATAAAACAATTGGACAGAAGGCCTCAGGTTCATCCTAGACCAAGCTCAGCAGCCACAGGGGGAGACACCCAGGCAGTAACAGCTGCCCAACGTCCCGCAACACCCCTGCGGGCGGAGTCAGGACCAAGATGCATACATAAAGGTGCTGTCCAGAGGGAGAGCAGAGCAGGCAGGGTCAGAGGGACAAGACCTCTCGCCCTCCCCTGCTGGAACCCCGTCCCACTGCCCACATGAGGAGAGACAAAGTCAGTAAGGCATGTGGCTGTCCAGGGCAGGACAGGCTGATGCTGCTCAGAGCTTCCTGCACCTCCAAAACCAGGGCCGAGCACCCCACACACAACCCAGGCCTCTGTGTTTGTAAAGAGCCCCCAGAAAGTCTCGTCTGCAGCCAGAGTTGGGAACAGCTGCTCTGAATTTAGCCAATAAATGCTGCTTTCAATCCATATCAAAAGGCATCTGAGACATCAGGCTAAGTAAAAAAGTAGATTACAAACAAACAAACAAAAAAACAACAAAGCAGATTACAACAAAACCGTGCACCGAGCAGGATCCTATTTCTGTTTAAAAATATTTATTAAAAGCTGTGCTTCCGTAAGGTTGTATGTGGCTTCATTCTTAGAAAATGGGGTGGGGTGAGTCAGATTCATGGCAAGATCTCTGGGGGCTGAAGTTGCAGATATCTTTGTTTACATGTTTGTGGAAATTTCAGGAAATAATACGTTGTTGTTAAGTGATGTCAAGTCAGTTCTGACTCATAGAGACCCTTTGTAGGGTTTCCAAAGAGTGGCTGGTGGGTTTGAACTACCAGTCTTGAGATTAGCAGTTCAGTGCTTATCCTAGAGTGCCACACCAAGACTCCAAGTATAGTTTGTTTTTTTTTTTAATTATACATCTTAATGCTCTTATAATTAGCACAAAAAAACAAACAAGGATTTCATATTTAAACGGTGGAGTGAAACCCCAGTACTCCTGCTCCATCTCACTGCTTGTCCCACCCCGGTAGGCACACTGGGCTCAGCCAAAGACTACTGAAAAACTCCAGTTTTCTCTGGAGGAGGCCAGACCTGCTCAGGGAGTGCGCTCTTTTGTTAGCTAACTCCACATTCTGCTTGTAATGCTGGGAACTGACCCTGGAGAACCAGTCCAATCCCCCTGAGGAGGCCTCATTTCTGTTATAGGTTAAACTGCATCCCTCCAAAATCTGTGTCAGAATCCTAACCTTATACCTAGGCAGGTGATCCTGCTTGAAAGCAGGGATTCTTTGTTCGGGCAAGAACAAGCCAGCGTCCAGCGTCCAGTGTCCAGTGGTTCCTAACCCTAAGAACTTCTGAGCTATATAAAGACCAGACAGACACAGAGATCCCCCAAAGGAGACAAACCCCATGTGAGAAACTGTCTGTATGGCAGGAAGTACCCAGGAACCCACAAGGAAGGTATCCACATGGTCAGGCGCTGTGAGAAAATACTCTTCTGTTCTTGAAAACACCCATCTGTAGAACTGGTACTACAGCGGCAGCTGGACCCCGAGCGGTTCTGAGGGAACCCAGGGAGACTGCTCAGCATCGCTCACCTGGCTTCTCCTACACAAGATGCTAAGATGCTAAGGAATGAAGTCAGAAGGGGGTGGGAAGGGAAGAGGAGGAACCCTTGATTCCAGCGTGTAGAAAAGGTGCTGAGAATTCTACAAGTGTACCAAGAACCTGCCAAATACAGAAACCGACTTTAGATGGCACAAGGGTTAATAGGAACAAAGGATATTTAAGACCGCATATGTCACAACTATATTTTTCAGTTGAAATTTACCTGGCACTTTGTTAAATTGCCCTCTTATTTTCTTTTTTCCCTCCTCTCTGCATACCAAATTTGATCTATTAATTGGGTGTTTTAATCTAAAAAACTCATCAGAAGGTCTCACATCGCCATAGCAACCATGCAGTGCCAGAAATGCAAGTCACCAGCAACGTGGCCGCTTCCTCAAGCCTCTGTTTATGTGTGTATGCCGTGGGGGAGGGGGAGGTGATCTTGGGAGACCTAAAGAGGTAGAGTCCAGGGACAGCAGCTCCTTCCCTCCTTCTGTCTGAATAAATCCCCTGGCCTTCATGCAAAGAAACGCTGTGGAACATTCCTCCGGCAAACACTGTGTGTGGCTAGCTATCCCTGCAGTCGTAGCAAAAGAAGAGTGGAGTGGTCGCCCACCCATAGGACAGACATTGGGTCTGGCGCCAGGGTCTGGCCTCCTGAGCCACAGGACTGCCCAGTGTTCTGTGTGAGGACAGGGCGCCCTCACTCAGTGAGAAGCGAGGGAGGACCACACTTCATGAAGAGTAAACAAATATCTGAGCAGACACCGCCTTGCTCACACACCACACACCACACACCCACGGGAGTGAACGGGGGCTGTGTAAATCATTCTCAGATTGGATCACGGCCTGAACTGCACACACAGGTCCTCGGCTCTGTGGGCTTCATAATGACCTGTGAATTCTCAGACATAAAACACCGGGAACAAGTAGAAAATGATGGACACACCATAGCCACCGTGAAGTCTGTGTCTGATTCTCAGCTGTAGTGGCCTTGGAGAGCATGACACTAACAGAAAAGAATGACCACTTGGCTGACCCTGACGCCTGCTGAAACAGACCGTTTCTCAGATGCCTTCTCATCCTGCAGCAGAGACTGGGGCAAATCTTTCCCCGTTAGCTCACTGTGTACTCTAGGCTTGACTTATTTTGAAGATAAGATGTTGTTGTTAGCTGCTGTCGAGTCAGTTCTGGCTCAGTGTCCCTGAATAGGGTTTCAGAGGCCGTGAATCTTTACGGAAGCAGAAATCCTCACCTTTCTCCCATGGACAGAAGCTGCTGGGGGGCTTGAACCACGGACCCTGCAGTGAGTCGTCAGTGATTATCCATCAGTGCCACACCAGGAATCTATGTATATATGTATACATTGTTGTTGTTGTTAAGTGACATTGAGTCAGTTCTAACCCATATCAACCCTATATAGGGTTTACCCGAGGACATACATGTGTGTGTATATATACACACAGACACATGTATGAGGTCCTGGTTACTGCTGCTGCAGGATTAGCACTGGACCGCAAGGTCGGCAATTCAAACTCACTAGTCGTTCCTCGAAAACCCTATACAGTGTTGCTATGGGTTGGAACCGACCCCATGGTACATAACCACCATCAGCCATGAATAGGAAACAACACGACAGCACTTACCAACAACATACATATGTATTGTAATACAGGACTCCTCATTCTCTCGATAGATTGATAGATAGATGGATGGATAGATAGATAGATAGATAGATAGATAGATAGATAGATAGATAGATAGACAGACAGACAGACAGGTAGGTAGGTAGATGGATGGATGGATGGACGGACGGACGGACGGACGGACGGACGGACGGACGGACGGACGGACAGATAGATAGATAGATAGATAGATAGATAGATAGATAGACAGACAGATAGATAGGCTTCAAAAGTTTATGGAAGAATTCTATTATTTTTTCATTCCATTTTTCCATGTTGTTAAGTGCCATCGAGTTGGTTCCACACATAGTGACCCTGTATTATAAGGTTTCCAAGGAGCGGCTGGTGAACTTGAACCACCGACGTTGTGGTTCAAACTGACTTTGCAGTCCAGCGTGTTAACCCACAGCGCCACACCAGGAGTCCTGTGGGCTAATGCATCAGACTGCAAAGTCGTTTGAACCACACAGTTGATGGTTCAAGCTCAACAGCTGCTCCTTGGAAACCCTATACAGACAGACGGAAAATTCACAGCGAACTGTGCACTGTGGTGGGAGCTGCCAGGCGCTCTGTGGGGGTCTACTCCTCGTCTGAGCAGTATGACCCCCCAGGCAGCAGACACAAGCCTCCCTCAGAGGCTTCTGTGCAGAACAGCCTGTTCAGTCACCAGCATTGGCCAGAGGGCCGAGCTTTGTAATTCCTTATCAGGTTTAAATTATTTATTAGAAATAAATAGCTTAGGCTGTTCATGAGTTGTGCTCTGAAATGATCAAAGATCTGTCATACCTCTGCAGGCTGCCTAAAAATGAAAATGCATATTTCAACTATTTTAAGAAAATGTCAAAAAGCGTTTATCAAGTGTGCCGTGGGCACCATTTGAATTATCTGCCGGCATCTGTGAAAATGAGCTGAACGTTTGCCTTCAGACTCATCCCAACTTCTCAAAGCCACCTTTCCCGGACTCCGTCCAAGGTCCCTCCAGGTATGCCTGTACACCTGCACCTACCTGGCACGGGTCCTTCCCAACTTCCCGCCGGGCCCACGACACCCACCCTCCACGTTGGCCGCTTTACCTGTAGGAGGGTCTGGGAGCCACCGCACGAGCCCACAGAGGGGGGCCGCGCCCCACCCGCCCACCTGTAGTGGAGGTCAATCACTCCTCCAGTGAGCGCCTTCACAACAGCAAAGTACTGAGCGAGCCTGCACATTGTCCCTAAAAGGACCGCGATGGACTCTGGCCCTCCCACGATGGGGGACTCCCGGATCCTCGCCCCAGAGGGCCGGCCAGAGCCTGTTCCCCCAACGGCGCCGGCACTTGTCGCGGAGGACACGCGTGGGGACCACAGCCGCTGTCCAAGGGGTCGTAGACAGAGATGGAGATGTCCTGGACACCGTCCACCACCGGCCCACAGACCCTGGGCGGCCCGACCCGTACCCCGCCGGATCCTGGGCGCCCGATCCGTGGGGCGCCGGCCTGAGCCCCCGAGGTAGCCAGCGTCCGGCCGTAGGCACAGTCGACTCACCGTCCTCCTTCTCGTCAAAGACCGGCCTCCGCGCTGCCGACGCGCCTGACATGGACGAACACATCCGCTTCTTCCACTTGCTCCAGGGGAACA